CCTTTCTATTGTGAAGCCGTATTTTGCAATAATAAAGATCTGTATCACTAGGATATTTCATTTCTGAAACTTGAAATCGTTTTCCGTGATTACTTTTCCAATCTCCACTTCCTTACTTCTTTTCAACTATCAGATTAAAAACCTCAGTTTTTTTCCTTATTTAAATTCAGTCGCATACTTACGAAGCAGTGTAAAAATTTCATTGAATGCATTAATCCAAGTAAGAATTATATTTCATAAACAATTGTTGGTTCTGGTAGAAAATAGGCAATTTGATAAAAGTGCTTGTACCTTTGCGGTGGGCACTGTTATGAAACGGTCCGAGTGAAACTTATATTTCTGAGAACATAAATAATCATTGGTGTTGCAGAAAAATGGTTTATTTGCTTAAAGGTGTTAGTACCTTTACGACGAGGCACCGTTATGAAACTATCCAAGTGAAACCTCTACTTTTGAGAACATAAATAAAAGTCGGTGTTGAACATTCCTTGCAGTTAATATTCTGTAAGGCTCTGATGATGCAAATTTTACTGGTTTTGTTGGCATAGGAAATCTTTAAAAACTACGCATACTTTCTCAAACTGATATCGATTCTTTCAACTACATATTTCATCTAAATGTTTGACCACGTAGAAAATATCAGTATTTGTTTGTGGTTAACTTGTAAGAAATCCTAATTTGCCGTGCGTACTGCCGCAGTGGCTAGCATTCTTCTTTCTAAACATGTTATATTATTATAATAGGAATATAACTTTAGAAAAGCAAAGTTCTCCTTTATTCTTTCTTTTTTTTATTTTCGAAACAAGAATTTTCATTTGATTTTGTCTTTTGAGATCATTTTACCTTGCAAACATGTTACATTTTCACTCGAAACTAATTTGAGGGAGGTAGGAGAAAGCGAGGACAAGAAACAGAAAACGAAACAGTTATGCTTCGCAAGGTAAGAACAAGGGAGAACATTTGTTTCGTGACCCCATCCCTTCGTTGCCAAAACGTCTTCCTAGAGCCAAATATTTCTTTAAGAACTGTCATCCAGGGGTTTCAGTCGGAGGGGCGAAAAAATAGTCACGGTTGCCCTGAGAATACTACAGAATACTGCAGAGTATATCTGATCCTTCCACCCTCAACACGACGGGCTTTGCATGACCAAAAATAGAAGTGGCTTCGTAGAGCTTTTCGTGTTTATTTTTCTTTCTTTTTTTTCCTTCGCTTTAGAAGATGGGAATGTTTCCAGATTATGACGATTTCAGAGACGACGAGCAATTTTCGCCTGCAAATTTCTCCGTTAGGACAGCAAACGTTAGTAAAATTTTCTCAATTCACGTGAGCAGACTGACGAAAAATTGAGAGATTTCCTGAGTGGTGTCTTCCAGAGTTCATATGAATCATAAATTCTCTCGAATCTGGGTCTTAAATGATCCTCGAACCTCTCGGATGTTTCGTATATCGAATGTATCGAATCTTTCGTAAAAGATAATAACAAAAAGTATTCCTTAATAATAATAATAATAATTAATTAAAGCAAAATTTAATATTTGAATCAGAATTCAATATGATTTTACTGAGAAACGAAGTTAAGAATAAAGTTATCTCAAAATACACTTATGTTTATTAGGAAGATTCAAATAAAATTTGCTATTAGAACTGCACAATTAAACTCGAATCTTGAAGTTTATTTTCTCTGGTATTAAATAATAAAGAATCTCTACGTATATATGTATGTACGTTTCTTGTAGAATGCAAAAATGGAGGCACATAGACACGACCTAATTTTAAAGATTAATTTTCCGCCCGAATACAGGCACCTCAAGAATCGAATTTTTAATTTCGCTAGCAGTTTGTTTCTCTTTATTTATTTCGTATTTTAAGCAAATTTAAAGAACTTTTGATTAGAAACTAAGCGATCTTGAAAACAAGCAGTGGCAACACTGTTCGAAATAAAACATTTTTTTTCCAACGAGTCAGACCAATGAGTTGTTGTCCTTCGGCAGAATGAAAGATAATTATTTATCTTTCACTACTAACCAATAAACTCAACCATTTAAAAGCAAAGTCTTGCCAGTGTCGGAAACAAAATACTTTCGTCTTCCAGTGCCAGTGTGCTGCCATTCACTAGAGCATAAGATACTAAACTCTCAAATTTAAATCTGTCTGTTATTAATTAAGAAACTAAATGGTTTAAATGTAAAAAAAAATTCTTAAGAATATTTATTCTATTTTTTAATCGGATTGATTAATTGCATTTAATCATGAAAATGTTTGATTAGAAGTATTACATATTTTCATAAAATCATACTAACTGGATTTATTAAAATCATTACACATTTTTCCCAGGCTACAAGTTTCAGCGAAATCTAACGAAAAATATCTGAGTGACAGTTATTTTTTTAATATTTTTTAAGAATATCCTTAGATCAAATTACATGAGAGTAATATTTGAACAACTAACACATATAAATAAATACTAAACATGGAAAGCTAAATATTTTCCAGACACAAAATTAAGGTTGTGTAGTAACAGCCACCAAAAGAAGATATTGAACATTCAGGTCCACTGAATTGTACTAATCCTATTATTATTTTTTTAAGAATACTTCTATTGAACATCAAACAACTATTTTCTAAAGTTTTGAGTGAAAATATTTATGAAAAATGTGCGAAGATTAGAGCTGTGGAAATTTCCGGGAAATTCGTAAGATTTGAGAATTAGTGTATTTGAATGCAGCTTTAACTTAAAAACAGGAATCATACACATTAACCATTTCCTCGTACAAAATCTTAAAGAAGGATCAAGTTCTTGCTTAAAATTAACAACTCGCATATCGTGCTGCTTTGATATTTTTACTACTGTCTTTGGCAACACCTCTTGCAAACAAGCACTGGATGATTTTTGTTCCTTTATTTATTGTTTCATTTATAATGCATGTGATATGGAGAGATATTTTCTTTCGGCAATTCCGAAACCGGAATAAATATTTTCGGCAATAAATATTTTCAGCAATAAAATACGGCAATTTTCTTATTATTTTCAAATACTATACTTCGAATGAACAGTTTTAGATTGGATACATGGGGGAAAGTGGTGATATAGAACGTTACCTGACAAGCTGTGATCTTATATCTAAAGTGCGTATAAACTGCCAAAAGAAAATATCTCTCCATATCTAAAACATGCATTAGAAATGAAACAATAAATAAAGTAACAAAAATCACCCAGTGCCTGTTTGGAAGAGGTGTTGCCAAAGTAATAATAGTAAAAACATCAAAGCAACACAATATGAAAGTTGTTAATTTCAAGCAAGAACCTGAGCTTTCTTTAAGATTTTGTACGAGAAAATGGTAAATGGTTAATTCCTGTTTTTAAGTTAAAGCTGAAAATGGGGAACCTTAAGAGCTGGTAAGCGAATAATAGCTTAGTTCAGTGAACAGAGAGTAGAACTGAAGAAGGGTTAAATGCGCTTTATTATTCAAAATAAATTTAACAGACGACTCCTTCTTGGAGTTTATAAAAAAGCCTCTACTTGGGCTTGAACTCAGGAATACTTAATTAAACTTAACTAAAAAGGTATAGCCGAAGCTATCAAAATTCTAAAAGAATTGGTCCGCTAACTAACGGCGAAGCTATCAAAATTCTAAAAGAATTGGTCCGCTAACTAACGGCGAAACTATCAAGGGCCTAAAGTACGGCGGAGTATAATAATAGCTTAAGAGAGAGAAAGTACCTAAAAGGCAAACGCGCGCTGCTCAGAATATCTGGTCCTCAAACGAAGTCAGTAGAACTTCAATGTTAAATACTTCTCCTCATTTGCATTTGACTGCGATTCTGAAAATACGTTCTGGCCGGAAGTTGTAAGCTGAAATTACGAATGGACAGAAAAGTAACTTTAACTAAAAATAACTGTAAGAAAACATAGGATAAACCTACCAGTAATTATACATCTCTCCCGCAAATGCAATGTAAAAAATAGTATGCACTTTAAAATCTGATGTACACGTATTTACATATTCTGGCTTATTAAAAAGTATTTCACAATCATTTGTAAAGTAGGGTGCTGAAGTAATAATTTCCATATATAGGTTACCGAGGCATACAAAAGTTCGGTAATATTTGGCCCTTATTCAAAATTATAATTGTTACATAATATGCTAAAGATTTACATATTTTGCGGAAAAATGCATTTGAAAATCGCAATGATCTTGAAACCTAAGTGTCAATAAACACAGATTTTATTGCTTTTACTAGTCTTACGTGCCTTGTTGTTGTTTAAAATGTGTATAAAATATAGAATTCTTTTAATTTTTTGATATTAAAGATGGATGGGAATTTTGTCGAATGATATAAAAATTCGATATTCGCATGAAACGCTTTTAGATATGAAACTATCTAGAAATAAGATACTCATAGTTATATTTAGGCTATTTTTACGGGTCACAGGAAAAAACGCGAAAACATCTATATAATATGTTTGCTTGTTAGCGTTTAAACCGGGTCGAACTACCAGTGCTCATATTTTCTGCGCTGTGTAATTAATGGGAGGGAAATTTGAATAAATTTGCTAGAGAAACGAAGAGAAAAATTTTACTGAACCAACAATAACTTGTGAAAAATTAAAATGCTAGATCAATTAAAAGCAGGAACAATTAAATGTATTACAGCACCAATCGCAGACCATTTAAATCCAATATCGGATTCTTACACATCGATTTTTCTCTCTTCTATATTTATTGTGAACGAAATATAACATTTCTCGTGCAGGCATCAACTCATGTATATAAATATATTTTAGTACCTCGTAGTAGTAGCCACAAGGTATTTTTTCATTTGAATGTATATATAACCCATATCCCCGCTTGTCCTATTTTTGAAAATAACTGCTCGGCTTAACATACGAATGTTCAGCATTTGACTTCAAGTTGGATTTTAAATGTTTATTTACACATATGATTTGTATTTTCTTTTTGAAGAAAAGGCTTTGATTTTCCCTTTCTTTTTTTTACAGATTGAAAGGGAACGTTCAGACCTGACGGTACACCTTATGCAGATCTCAGAACGTTTGGAAGAAGCAGAAGGGAGCAGCGAAAGCCAAGTAATATAAATATCTTTTCTTAGATTATAAAGATATTTTTATTTGTTAAAATAAAAACATCACTTCGTCACTTTTCCCTTTAAAAAAATATATATATATATATTTTACACTCAATGAAAAATTATGAAATGTAATAGTGTGAAAAATCTTAAATTATTTATTTCACAAAAATAAAATATAAACACAGAAAATAAACCTGAGAATATTTGAGATTGAATATTTTAGAGATTTCAGATTATAAAACATAAGTTTACCCAGTAGCCCGCCATGTCTAAATAAATATCTTTAATAAAAGTTATGGGCTTAAATCTCATTGTTTGGGCAATACGGAATCACGTTGCTTCGTTTAATTTTTACCTGTATCTTAATTGTGCAAATATTTCTTATATAAACATTTTTATATCAATACTGACTGTTTAAGTATATTTTTACCATGCTTCGGAGAAAAACTTGACTGCAAGTTAAAGATTCATCTAATGATTTTTATTAATGCGTGTTAATGATTTCCATGTTAAGAATTCAGTTAACGATTTTCATGAATACATGTTGCGGATTCAGTTAATGATTTTCATGAACACAGTTTAATGATTTTCATGAGTACATGTTAATGATTTCCATGAATGCATGTTAATGATTTCATTGAGTGTATATTAATGGCTTTGTTAATGGTCTCCATTTGATGTATTTAGAATAACGTCAAACACAAAAGCTATAGTGATCCACTCATTTATTTAACTAACTTTGTCTCTATTAAGAGTGTCAAGCGACTTATCATCTCGTCTATTAAAACAACTACAAACTCGGAAAAAGGTTTAAATAAATTTTTTATTTAAATTTTGGACTTGGAAAAATTCTGTAAGCAGAAAACTGCTTGCAGAATAATCTTCGCAGTTTGACTCTGTGTTGTAATATAAAATATTAGATAAAATTGGAAATAATTTAACTTTGGAGATCCACAAATGAAGGATCCTATCGAGCGTTGGCTCAGCCTCATAGAATTTGTGTTAGAAACTCGGCTAGCTAAAGGCTAATGCGTGTCTAAAGAAATTCTGAAATCTGAGCGAGGATACAGCTTAACGTTCACCTTCGTTGAGGAAGCGCTAACATTCAAGAGCTTTGTTCTTATGTATACGTATTTAATATGAATTCTGGTAACAACTGACTAAAGATAAAAGTGACAGTACCATTAAAAGAATGAGGTAATAATGTTAATCAGCCTAAGCTTTACAAATGAACGTCAAATAACTAAAGACATCTGAGTTGCACTAAGGCAAACATGAACATCCATTGAGCATGACTTATGCCCAAGCCAAAGTAAACAGCTCAGTTTAAACTGATGTTGACTTTTCTAAACAAGGTGAGTAACAAGTTACAAACTTAACTTACAAAATAAATTAAGTGAACACAAACCTTATCTTTCTCCCAGTACTCTCAGCATATACGAAATCCATTCTGAAGAGAAGAGATGATGTAGAGTTAATAGCAGTTTTGGTCTTCGTTTGTAGAAATCATCTTGTAGGTTTATACTTGATCTGGTAATTAATCTCAGAACCCTAACTGACGTGAGGCGAATTATTGCTATGTCTGAATCATCGACAAAATCTTGAGAACGTTAAAAATTAAAAATAACCTTCTCAAAATTAATAACTCACAATAAGTCAACAGAAAATAATAATGTAACATTATGCTACGAAACAGAATTTCTGTAGCTGTAGAATCCATAATCAAATAAATTCTACAAATCCGTTATTAGGACAGAAAGCACGTCCATTTATGAATGGTGTCCATTTGCAATTTAGACTAGCAAAGTCCTTTTGTTTGAGAACACTTAATTTGAAAGCCATTTGAACTTTTGTTATTATAAATTTAAATCAAAATATCAGATGGCTCAGATGTAAGCTTTTTTTGTTTGGATTTTCTGATTATGGCAAAGTACTCAAAGGCTATCTGCCTAAGCGAATGGAAGCCTTAGTTAATTATTTTCTACGGAAGACTGTCTCGCATACATGTTGCACATGGGGAAACCCACGAAAGCCTTCATGCAACCAACCCATTAACTGGTATTCGAGCCCCGGACAGAAGTCCCAGTGCTAAGCGAATTTACCGCTCGGCGCTGGTGGGCTTATAGTATGGTTCTTCTAGAATATTTCAAGTGCCTTTTATGCATGTTGCTAACAAATTATTTTGTCGAAACCTGATTTGTGTCAAACTGAAGTGGGCTTTTTGTCGTATGTGCGGTGACTGGCTTTAAAGAACGGGTTATTTTGTCCACTTATTTGAAGAAAGAGTGGTAATTAAAGAATGAAGCGGCTAGAATGGTAGCAATATGAAAGAACTAGATAATTTAAACAATAAAAAAACTTATTTATGAAAAATGAATAAAACATTTCCAAGCCACAGAATGCCTGGAGGTACTGGTTATTACGCTAGAAACATTCAAGAAATTTAGTTTTATTGCGTTTTTGTTTGGTTTTGCTCATCTATTATAAGTCAAAGCAAACTAGACTGAGAGTGCAATATCTGTCTATTATCCTGCAGATTTACCTTTTGCTCTGGACTATGCAAGGATATTTTTATACATATTTTCCAAACTGCGTTTCACAGATCTATTGATTACAATATAAAATATCATTTATACACCCTGTTCACAAAAGTCGTTGCCTGGCCTCCATTTTCGCAACCGTTGTTCATAGAAATGTAAACTCGTGTGTAAAATTTAGTTCTTACACGTTATGACGAATTTATGAAAACCTAATGGACAGATTTAAATGAAATTTTGCAAGAATGTACATTTAAACAGAGGACGCTATGAACTATTTAAAAGTCATTTTATGTAAGCATGATTATCAGCAAAGCTCATAGTGCAGGAATGTCTAAAATCTATGTTGTGATATCGAACTGCAAATGAGTCTAATATGAGACATGGTCGTCTCCTCACAGCCAGACAGATCGCTTAGCGTGACGGCATATTAGACAGGAGGCAGTCGAAGAATACCTGTGGCAACCGATCCCACTCTTGCAGCAAGCAATTTTTAACTCCAAGATGTTTCTCGGAGGGGAACTGCGAGATGAAACACGCCTTTCAGGTAATCGTCGACCAGTTAATCCCTATGTGTTGTCGTCCATTAACAAGAACCCAGGACGACCTGCACCCCAGAAAAGTCTAATATAGGGCTTTAAGATCTTCTTTTTATACCTCATACCAGTCTGATGCAAGGTGTATGGCTACGTTATAAAATTACCTCACAATTTTTATCTATCTCTAGCGAGGAATACGATGAATGTCGTAAAGGAGTACGAGCACACAAGTTGCCGAAAAACCCTCGTGTGCTTATACCCCCTTCACATTCACAGCTCCGCAGATACGCACTTGAACGCTTACGTATTCAACTCTAAAAATTAGCATAATTCTTCGTCGGCATAATTAATACCTTTAATTCAATATTTAAATATAGACTAAATTTGCAAATTTTCTTCTTAATTTTGCACACGTATACTTAACAGTCACAGAATGTTTTAAATGCCTTAAAGATTTATGTTTTCGTATTCTCAATTTAAAAACAAACTGATTTTGTATAAAATACGGAATTTATCTTTTTACACTTTCCTCTTGTCACTATATTTAATGTTTATTAAATTCTAGTATTCGTTATAAAAAAGAAAGGACAAAATGTGAACTCCCATGCGACTAAAATCGAAATTTGATATTTAAGTCGAAGTTCATATTAAGGGCTCGTAAACAAATGGAAGAGCGAAAATTTTGCATTTGTATATAACTAAATAGTTTTTAAATCGTTTCTGATGTTAAGAGCTTTAGTGACGAGCGATTCTACGCAGATTACTGCGAAAACTACTGATTAATATACATTTTTTTTTTCAAAATATAGATCTTATTCAAAATATTTTACAAGAACTTTTTGTTATGAAGAATGTTGGCCAGCTACGGTATTAGCACATAGCTTATTCGTACTAATAATTTGCAATAATTAAAGAATTACTTGTACTTTAATGAATTCTTTTGCGATTACCAGATTATCATTCTAATGTAATAAAGCTTCATGGGAATGTTTATAATGTCATTTTTAAATTATTAATATTTAATTATAAATGATTTATGTGAAAATTCTTTCGGCATACCCAATGTAACGAAATTTTAAATTAAAGACACTAGTAAATCACAAAAGATTACCATTGATTGGTATTTAAAGGGGAAATTCAACATCGAACTAGTCTCATTTATTTATTAACTGCCCTCTCCATGGAAATGGAAAGTGACCTCCAAAGTCACAAATTTTGAAATTAAATATTTCGTTCAATATTTGCAGCACGTGAGTAAAATATTTTGGGTTTTATTTTTTATAATGAATCCAATAATTTCCTAAACATACGTATAGTCCCAGGGAAATGTGTAAAAGGTTAAATTTCGTAATTCTCGCAAAATTGATAACATTAAACTTAAAAGTGCAGAAACATGAATCTTTGCCTCATTTCAAACATTTTTGTAATCGGAAGTTTATGTCTGCGACAAACGGTTGCAAAAATAAAGGCCAGGTGAGGATTTTTGTGGCCACAGTGTACGTAAGAGATGCTTATATAGAGAGTAGGCAAACTTACAAACATTTCAGTTGTATAGTCATAACCTTATTCTAATTTTATACAAAAATTTCTTCTTCCTCTCTTTTTTTCACTAACAATATAACATATCGTGACAATCATTATCTCTGAGATCAAACGGTTGATAAATCCTTCCGTAACAACTAATTTTGATTTCAGCTGGAAATGAATAAGAAGCGAGACCTGGAACTGCAGAAATTGAGGAAACTTCTGGAAGATGTACATCTAGAAAGTGAAGAAACAGCTCACCATCTCCGCAAGAAACACCAAGAGGCTATGGTCGACTTGCAGGACCAGCTCGAACAAGCGAACAAAGCCAAAGTCAAGTAAGTTTGTGATGATGCTCATAAAAGAAAGCCACTTTCCTTAGTTAAGGCTGCCATTTTTGTTGGAACTAAAATATGGAGCACATTTAAATATCATTTTCATTTTTTTTGTTGAACACATAGTTTGTGTGGTTTGTCCAAATCTTTTTGAAGTATTAGGTATGTTACATTACGTTACAATGAGTTTATCATCCATACTCCTTGGCAAAATTTGTCACTGAATAAAATGTGATACTGCCTCGCATCGCTAACTCGAAGTCGTTTAAGTGTGAACTAAACCATCAAATTTCTAAATGTCAGGTGCTTCACATGGCTAATTTTCATTTAAAACAATAAGCCGCTACTGTCAAATGGCCCATTTCACGAACTATCAATTAAAACAACACATCGCTAACTTTCAACATTACATCACTAGCTTTTAATTAAAACAACAGTCGATAACTGTCAACGGTCCCACGTCGCAAATTACCAAACACATCGTTAACCGTCAACGCCACGTCGCTAACTATCAAGTAAAACAACACATTGCTAACTGTTAACACAGCAATGCTATTAAAACTACACGCCGAAAACTGTTAACACCACATAGCTAACTGTCAACTGAAACAGCACGTTATTAAATGCCAACACCACATCGCTAATTTTCAATTAAAACAACATATCACTAACTGTAAGGCCTGCATTGCTAGTTTTCAATTAAAACTACTCGTCGTTAACTGTCAACCCTGCATCTAATCTTTGAGTCCCACACTGAATGAAATACCCCATATTTCTATCTGTCACATATAAAGTGCCCCATATTTCTTTCTGTCATATAACTGGTCACCAGTCACAAATGGCCTCGATGGTAACTAGTACTTTTTTATTTACTCTTGACTGTCATGATGTTCTTTGGTTTAATTTTATTTACACAGTCTGAATTATTCTTCATTACTCTACTCTGGTGATTATTTGATCACTATTAGCCGCAGACACGCAGTGACCAAACTTATAATATGTGACTTAACTACCAGTGACTGCCAGTCCATGTTACAGGTAGATCATATTACAACAAGTCACAGGTGTTCTTGTGTTTAATTTTATTTCAAAAATGCAATTGAAGCTACTGCTCCCCCCAAACTGATCACCAACTGCCCTGAAGGCTATCGTTGTACTTCGGTTTTGGAATAGTATTCTAAATATCTACCTAAATTTTCTCCCTTCCTCCTTATTGGTCAGCTACGCGCGCTAGTCAGAAACTCTGATTCTCTCTCGAAGTCAGTGGAGCCTTCGACTTTGATCCTACTCATTTGCATTGAACGCGATTCTAGAAATACATTTTGGTAGAAAATTGTAAGCTGAAATTAGGATGGATAGAAAAGGAGCTTAAAAAATAACTGTTAAAAACTGAGGATAAAGCTTATACGTTTTACGAAATTTATCTGAATGTGAAAGGAAAAATTATCAAAATTTATTTGCGTGTAAATAAATTCAGGTACAAGAGGAATAAAGAAAAAAATTAAATTAAACTCTAAAGAATTACTAGCCTAAAGAACTACTCTAAAGTAAACTCTAAAGAATTACTGAAATTGAATCCAGCAATTCCCTCCCCTTCCTCGATATTCTTATAATCCGCAATGACTGATTTTAGCACCACTGTGTACCGTAAACCCTTTGCAGTTTGTTTACCACCCCATGCCAAGTCATGCCACCCTGTTAAGCAAAAAATGGCTTCTTTTTACTATTATGTATTCCGCGCGCTTAAAGTTTGTTCCTCTGAATCTTTGCTTACCAATGAACTTAACTATTTGAGAGCAGTTGCGATTGACCGTGGATTTTCTCCCGTGATTATTGATAAAGCCGTTAAAACTTTTTCAGATTCCCATCAAAGAAGACATTCCGCTGTTTGAAATAATATTAATGACCTTGTCGTGCTTCCATTTTATCCTTCTGTTAGCTATAAAATTGCACGTATTCTCCAGAAATTGAATTTTAAAGTCGGTTTCTCCCCTATTAATAAAATTCACCCTTCGATTCTAAAAGATTGCGTTTCTGTCTTGAATTCTTGAGGAATTTATAGTATATCGTGTCAGGTGGTTTAAAGATATATTGGCAAACAAAAAGAGCGTTGAAGTTTTGTATCAAGGAACATGAATCTTATGTCAGAAAAGACGAAATTAACAAGTCTTCAATAGCGTATCATAGTTGGACTTTTAACCATAATTTTATTTTGGGTCTGCAAAAATTATCCAAAAGGCTTCTTCCATAGGTGAGTTGGATTTTCTTGAAGCTTCTCACATTCACAAAGATTTAGCAGGTTTAGTTAATGATTTGAAGTCCAATCCAGTCCTTCCTAATGCCTTTAAAATTCTACTATCTTAATTCAATTATTTTTGCCGATAGATGGCGTTACCTCCTCGCGTTTGGTACTACCAGAGGGTATATAAAAAAATCCGTTCAGTGGTTGCTTTCCCCCTCACTTTCGATTTGGTAGTGCTGGCATGAGGTGTTGCTGTTGATTAAAGAAATTGTTCTTTCTGTCTACGGCGTTGCTTTTCTTGCGATTTTGTGAAGTAAAGGGAAAAGACGACATTGCTCTCACTACTGAAGCTGATCCTGAGTTGCTGTCGTCTCTTCTTGATGTTCACGTGATAAGTATGTTTTAATTATTCTTTTGCCATTAGGTTAAAAGTTAGGATTCATGCATATCATGGAACAAGGAGGCGATTGAAAACCGTATCAAATCTGTGTGTGATCACAGAAATCTTGGAAGTTACCAGCGATAACTTAGAAAAACTTTAAGCAACTTATGCTTTCTGAGTTTCATGCTTATCAAAATTCATTTAATCCAAAAAATGCGACTGAAGTTCACTTAGCCCACGTCAATGCTATGGAAAAGGATATACAAATCTTAGAATTATACATTAATGAAATGAAACAAAAAGAAACCCTAAATAATCCAACAGAGGAAACAAATCAATCTGATATTACTGCTAGTCAAAAATCTAGAATCAAAAAGAAAACCACAATAGATAAAGAAGGATACATAACCCCTAGAAATAACTCATAAAAGAACTCTATCAAATTCCGAAATTGAAGAACCAGCTCAGAAAAAATAAATTCGAGGAACTAAACCCTGAAGACAATATGGAAGCAGAGTGAAGGTGAATTTATTACACCCAACAAAAAAGCAGGACACATTCCCCCTATAGTCTTAGCAGACTTCACGGGGGATTGGGATAAGATGAAATGAAAGAAGAATTTTGAAGAGCAATTAAATATCAAAAAAATATCGTGGAAACCTAAGGGGAGGTACACTGACCATAAGAGTTTATGACTCAGACCACTACCGCACAGTTACTGAATACCTAACTAAACTACTTATTCCTTTTCATACTTATAAACTCAACAGTGAAAAGCCTATCAAGGCAATAATTAAAAAACTTCCAAAAACAGCTAATATGGAACTAATCAAAAACGAAATTGCCCAAGAAGGTATCCCAATTCAAAAAATTCGACAAGTAATAGTAACATCAATCTCATTGCTCCCAATCACCCAACGCACTATACGCACAACGGACTAGGGGATATTTTAGATATAGTTTTGATGAAAAACCTTCCTAATATTCCTAATCTTGATGTTCACACAGAAACTTTCGTCTGACCATCTCCCTATAGTCTTCCAACTTCTTATGGATTTTATCCCCCTCTCCCTAAAGCTCATACAAAAGTTAATTGGTATATGGTTACCGAACAGCTAAATTCTGTAAACAGCAGAGCCACACTTCGTTATCGACTGCGATATTGAGCTGGAAATCTCCCAGATTAAACTCCAAATTTCAAAACGCTATCAATAATGCTACTATGCAGTCAAGAATAAAAATCCCTATGACATCTCAGAAGAAATTAAATCCCTTATACAAGAAAGAAATAGACTTAGGAAAAATATGGCATATTACTCGCAATCCTACTGAAAAACGTCATATTAATTATTTAAACAGAAAAATAAAAGAAGACATCGCCACCCATCGATCAAATTCGTGGGATAATTTCCTAGAGAAACACATGGATCTTTACCCAAATTCTCTGTTAGGAAAGTAGCTAAATCAGTCAGATCTAATCACACTAAATCACCCTAATCAAATTCACCCCCTGTATCACATGGGCAAAATTTCACCACTCCGAAGACTTCCATAGCTGAAATCCATGCAAAAGAATTAGAAAACATTTTTAAACAACATGAAAATAAAAATTCTGATCACGAATAAAGATTATTAATTACTATGTCAATAGCATCCTCAACAGTCCCAGCATTAATTTTTTATGCCTGCATATCTCCAAACGAAGTTCCAGCAAAATTAATTAAAAAATTAAAGAAGCGCAAAGCTAAAGGATATGACATGATTTCTAATGAAGCGTTGCAAGGCTTTACCTAGAAGATGCATAGTCTTAATTACAAATATTTTTAATGCTTGTATTAGACTCAGCTACTTTCCATCGCAGTGGAAACATTCGATCATTGTTACGATCCCGAAACCAGGAAAAGATCCAAAGCTAGCAAATAATTACAGACCCATCAGTCTTCTGCCAGCGCTTGGAAAAGTTTTCGAACGAGTACTTAGTGCTCGGCTCACCAATCATCTAGAACGCCTTAATCTAATAGACAAGCATCAATTTGGATTCCGCAAAGGCCACAATACCACACATCAAATATTAAATTTAGTTGAATTATTTGCCCAAGAATTTACAAAAAAGAACGGAGTAGCGGCATGCTTCCTCGATTTCGAAAAAGCTTTCGATCGAGTGTGGCATGCTGGCTTACTTCATAAGCTATCTAACTTCCTTTTACCAAACAGCTTTATTAAGCTTATGAATTCTTATTTTAAACATCGTACTTTTCAAGTGCGCTATGGTGAAGCAATCTCTTCAAAAAAGTGATTTACAGTGGAGTAGCTCAAGGCAGTGTTTTAGGACCGAAGCGTTTTACAATATTCATAAATGATATGCCTCTAACTTTTCATTCTAATATACTCAAATATGCCGACGACACAGTCATCCTCACCAGTTCACGAAGTCCAAATAATGCTTTAGAGAAACTTCAACTCCAAGTCAACATTATTAACAAATTTTGTCAAGACTGGAAAATCAAACTAAATACTGATAAATGCTGCGTAGTTCTCTTTCGCAGATACAGAAAAAATATCCCAGTGAATATAAATATCCGACTCAATAACCAAGATATTCCTGTTGCCAACTCCTATAAATATTTAGGTGTCTATATGACAAAACCCTAAATTTCAAAGATCAATTCAATATGTTACAAATAAGGCTAACGCTGCTTTCATTGCTCTCTACTCATTAATTGGGAGAAACTCTAAGTTAAGCCTCCGTACCAAGAAAAATATCTACATCTCACTTATTTGACCAATAATCCTCTATGCAGTTCCAGCCTGGGCTACTGCCCGAAAAATAGACAGACAAAAATTAAATGTACTCCCAAACAAAATCTTACGTAGCATAGTGAACGCACCCTGGTTCGTGCGAAATTCTCAAATTCACAAAGACCTGGATATCAATCCAATTCACGACCAATCCTGATTTCTGCACACAAACTTCTTTGAAGATATGAGAAATTCTCCTATGAAGCTATTAAATCGCTTACAGACTATGACCCTACTATTGAGAACGTAGTGGAAAAACCTCGAACGATCCACCACAATTCTAAGTGGTGGTAGTGTATATAATGTATAAAAAAAAAAAAAATTACTATTCCTTTGCAGTTACTATTCAAGAAAGATGAACTTTGCAAAATTAGGACTTTATTTTTCATCGATGAATTCTTCGTTTTACTACTTATTTAACCAAGATGTTTACTTTTTATTTTTAATATTTCGTATCGTGTGTTTTAAAATCAAAGTTCGTGGTAACACCAAGTGCTTACTCTCACTCATTAGCCCTAGTGAGCTACTTGACCTCATTTTCACCTTTTACAGTTTCCTATTCATTTAATGATTATATCGCAAGTTTAGAAGATTTTCAAGTGTTTCAAAAGACATAAGACTCTTAAATTCACAAATAGATGTTGCTTTTACTATGTTCGAACTTTATTTATTGCCAAAAACTACAAAAACTTCAACTTCATTTTTCGAACTCTGACTCCTCGACCAATCTAAATGCCGGACGCTGATCACGTGCTCCTGCTCTTCTTGACTCACGCAGAAGCTTAGAATTTCATTTCGCTTCTCGCCACCATTTACGTATATAATCACCCATGCTATGCCATGATATGCAACTTAGCAAAACTTATTTTTTATGAGTTCTCTCATTTATTGATCTCGCCTTCGGGCTCGGTGTATTTTAAATACACCTCTTAAATTTTTAACTTTATGGTCTATGGTAAAATGATAATATACTGGTAAGAGCTCCTAGTAGCTAAAGCCAGCAGTAAAGATATGATCCAAGATCCAAGATCCAAGGTTGCTTTCCATTATTTGAAGTTCAGATTTTGAGCGTAAGGTGCATTTGCCCCTCGCTCCCTATTTTAACTTCGCTAATTTTTCTTGTCCTTTATGCATGATCAGATAACCTGGCTCAGTAAAAGTAGGCGGCCAGTGCAACTCTGATTAAAAATCTAGTTATAACCACGTGCAGTGCTGATAAGGATTACGTGTTTCTGTGACTCCTTCTCCTTTATTTTTCTTCTTTCTAGGTATTTCTTTCTTCTGATGAGGAGGGACTTTTAGCTGCCCTTGAAATCGATTGAGTGTTTCATTATACCTACGCTAAATACAAGGTTGTTTTTACGATTTTGATTGTCACATTAGCGTGTTTCTCTTCTAGTCTAATTACTAGCCTATTTGTGGTTTAATTATTGCTTTTCAGGACCAGAGATGTATTAGTCTCACACTCACTTTTGCGTCTGTAATCACTTTTCCAATGTTGCCACCAAATAAAATTATATTAAAGTTTATAAAAGTTAAAAATGAAATTGAAAAAAAATCTGAAATATTTCAGATTGGAAATGTTACTCAAAAGCACTTTTCCAGCGATATTGGCTCTTATTCTGACAATGGATGTTCGGACTGTTTGTTTCTTACATCGTTCATTTTTAGACCGATATTCTTCATTTGGATTTCGTTCGTTGTCTTAGCATATTCTCAACTTTTCTCCCACGATAGTCCATAAAAGATTTTCTCTTCGGTTAACACTTAAGACCTCTCTAATACTTAACACTCTATAGCAGGAGCGAGTCTAAGAGTCCAAGCAGCGGTAAAAATTCGAGCGCAGCATTAGAAACTTAACTAAGCCTGTGGTGCAATGTTAAAATCTAAATACTTTCAAGTGTTTTTGGTCAAATCATTTGGAAAGGTGGCAGTATATGAATAAAAATAATTTCTTCGTTTTCATTTCCAGGATCGAGAGAGAAAAGCAAAAGTTTCAAGCTGAAGTTTACGACTTACTCTCACAAGTAGAAATTGCCAACAAAGATAAGGTGAGATTTAAGGGTTCACAACATTCTATTTTTATTTAATTTATTTCTCTGAAATTACATTTATTTCGTACTTGCACGAAATGTTTAATAAAATAAACTGCTGAAAAACACGATAGTCCACAAATAATGGCAGACGATTATTTTTATAATAGTAAATATATTATTCATGTTATTTATGATTTAAATAGTTTGAGTTTATTTAATAATATGACGTAGAAAGAAGTTTTAGTATTCAATGTAGTATGCGATATATCACCTTATTTTAGTTAGTTATTTCATAGATGGCACCACTGAAACGCCGTTTTTTAACAGGGAAATAAATATGAATACACAAAGGAAAATGAGTCCATTATTTTATTTAATTATAATTATTTTATTTAATAACTTTTATTTAATAATTTTATTTATTTTTAATTCAACCCATTAAATTTTTAATTCCATTAAATTTAATGGTTAAAGGGCCAGTTGGAGATTTTGGTGAGTTTTCCCGAAACGATCTCCAAGCCATCGTCATTATCAAGATATTAAAGGAAAGTAATTAAAAATATAATTTCAAATACAAAAACGATGACTAAAAGTACAATTTACAATTAAAAAAATAACACAAATTAAAAATACAGAAATCATTTACTGAACTTTATACATACTATATGACACCTTATTGTTGTTCTTTCCGCGTAGAAAGCTATCTATTTTCGCTTAAAAAATACATATATTTCTCCCCGTTATATAATATATAACGTTAATGTTTTTCTCTCCATGTACAGAGTCATCTTTTCTTGCTTAAAAAACATCAGAGAGCTGCGGCATTCCTCACATGAAACGTTATATATTATATGGCACATTACTGTTGTTATAATATTCAACAATCCCATTAATTTCCGTTATATTAAAAAAAGCTTATCAAAATAAAATGATCACGAAACAAAGTAAAAGTAGGATGACTAGGCTAAATTTAGTATGTCCCTCATTCTTCATATTAAACAACTGAGATTTTAATAATTTCATAATTCAATAACAGTGGCTTCAAAAAATAAGAATTTCAATAGCTTTTATATTCCAACGTCTGATAAAATAACAACAAAAGGAAATGACAAATGAATAAAAGAGGCAGATTCCATACGACATGGTACCCAAATTTTGCATGTGCTTATATTACAAAGTTTAAAAAATAAACTGGATTTAAACTTCTAATATTATCTAATTTGTTTCACTATTAATAAAGGTAATCTAAAGTTTCAAATAATTTAATACAAACTTATTAAGTAAAATAATTTTAAAAATTCAAGGAGCATATGATTATATACTTTAAACAAAACTGAACAAATTAAATTGACTTTGCTTCAGGATTGTGTACCTTTCGAAATTATGCTATTTCCATCAAAAAGCAACTAAATTTAGATCTTCGTTTTTCAAGAGCAGAATAATTTGCTCCTTGAAAGTGGAGAGACCTCATTCAAATTCTGCCAAAATGCATACAGCAGGTCCTGCAGCTTCAAGATTAAATTTTTGCCTAATTTTGAAGCTAAAACTATTGTGGTTTGATAAAATTGAAACTTAGTTCGTTGAAAATATTTAAAAATAGTCGAACGAATTGTAATAACTCCCTTCTACATTTGATTATAATAGGACCATTTTTATAATATTTAATTATATATTTTCATTCACTTCCTAGTATTTTATTCATATTGAGAAAATTTTGCAAATGTAAATTGCAGAGAAAGGAGACTATTGACTGACATAAATTGCTTCGCTGTTAAAAAAAGGGACTATCCAGTGTATCAGTATATCTCGAAGTTGATTGAATTTTATATAATTTGTTGGATTTATCTCCGCAGTTTAGCTAAAATTTTAAGCCCCACCATGATAGCCGGAAGAGTTTTTGTTCCGTCTGTGTAAATAACTACTGAGTCCAGAGAAAGATTACAGGTTGAATCTTCGCAGCTTGCGATATATCATATTACAGGTCCCAGTTTTGAACGAGCATACTAGGGGGCGGCGCGATGTTTTCCCACCTCTCTTCCACTATCACCAACCTCTTGAGGGGCCTTTAGGCTCCCATATATTTTGAGTGCTTCCTGCCGCACAGACCTTATATACTTATTAACATCCATACCTTCTCCAGATTCGAACCTGGGTCTATCGGTACGTTAGTCACCGCCATAAAGAAAGTGCTTAATGAAGTGATGAACGGAAGATGAACTTCAAATTTAAATGAAGAGTATAATGCAAACAGCTTGACAAGCGTTGGCTCAGATTACTAAGTACGCAATTGTTTTCGGCTAGCGAAATGGCTAGTGCTAGATAATTAAATGACATAACATAGCATGAAACTAGGCCAGCACCTCTGTAGTACCATTGGTGATTAAGGTATTGTTGAGCCTAGTTAATCTTAGGAACGACAACCATCAGGGGGCCCCAAGATGTCAGTATTAGGCTCCGTGCACCAGATTCCCAGGCGCTACCCCGCGAACTGCCGGATAATTATATAGCAGAGCTAGACGATAGAAATATGTTACAGTCAGTGTCGTTGCTAAAAACTTTCTGTTTAAGCTGGGATGTCGAACTCACGTGCCGTATGCTGCTCAAAGCAAGCATCAGTGAGGCCCCAGAAAAGAGCTCGAAGCACAAAAGAAATATCAAGAACCTTTCTCAGTGATCATTCCGATCGGGAGTTGAAGCTGGTTTTTAACATATATAGTTTGGTTTATTTGATTATGGCAATGCACTCGAGGGCTATCTACCTGATTGGAGGGATGATTCCGTGTAAGACTTTCTAAGAGAAACTGTCTCGTATACAATGTAACATGGACAGACGGATTATTTAACGTTTCGAAGCGAAATAAAATATGTTTTGCGTGTCTAAAGGAAGCCAAACTAAATGCAAACAATTATTTAAATTCAAACAAGTTAGACTAACATAACCCTAAATAAAGTAAAAAAATACGCAGCCTTACTTTCCGATTACTTACTTTTCGACAAGAATTTCAATTTGAAAATATTTTTCAAGATTTTCAGAAAAATAATAAAAATTTTTGTATTTCAGCAAGTTCATTTACAATCGATACAGATATTACCAATAAATTTTCAAACAGAATGCATAGAGTTGCTATCTGACATTCACCTTAAGGAAAATTTCATTGTTGGAATTTTATAAATCATACCCATCCAGAGACAAATATGCCGCCTTACACAGTCATGCATTATTCATGTCATCATTACTGCAAGAACGCAAATTTGTGAACAACTGTTTTCGAGAGTGAAGCGCATTAAGAGTAAAATTAGAATCAGGATGTTGGATGAACACTTTTGGATTTCCCTGAGAATTGACACCACTGCAACAGAACCAGACACCCAGACACTGGTGCATTAGTTTCTTAAATTCAAGGTCAAATATTGTAATAACTTTATGATTTCTTGTTATATTCTTAATTATAAACATAATTTATAATAAAATTTTAAGTATGCAATATCAAGTACAATGACACAATGTCAAAATAATTCTATATTGCTGTCATTATATTAAAAAAATACTTAATTACTTTTTCTCCTCAGTCATCGTTAGTGCTAAGAAAGAAAAGACTCGCCAAATGAATTGATTAACTCGCTGATTCACTTAAAAGTTTTCTGTTCATGAGCTTTCACAATATATATATATATATATATATATATATATATATATAGCACACACTGAGCAAAAGTGAACAGACCTGGTCAGTTTCACACGTTTCTCTCCTAAAGAAGAAATTCAAAAATTTCTTTTAGCTGTAAAATTTGAGGAAACCGGAGGAGCTTCAATGAAACCTACACAATTACGTGATTATTTTATTTGGAATTTCATGACTAGAATTAGAAATAATTTATGTGACACAAAATATCACATCTTTTTCCAGTGTGTGGCCCAGGGAAGCTAAAACTTTAGACACCTCTGCTTTAAACTTTCAAGAACTCTAACTTAAATATTCGTTAAGTCTTTTACATTCTAATAAGAGTTAGGGACAGTATAATTCTATATCATATGAAAATAAGTTAAAACATAAAATATACTTTGCAAATTATCTAAAGTTTTAACCTCTTATTTAATTTGTGGAAGACTGAATTAATTAGAAAGCTTCCTCTCTGCCCTTCACAAATGCACTTCTCCATTTTGCAAATTAATCGGGAATTTGTCAAAGACTCACAATATCTCTAACCTAAGCAAAAACCAAAATTTCAGTCCAATATTAACTTAAAACATACCATTACTGCTTCAATTTGCCAGTGCGGGGCATAAAGAACTACTTAAGCAAAAGCCCTGATTCTTCACGTAGCTAAAACAAAACAACACTCAGAAATTCTAAATTCTTTACAAAATTATGAAACTACAAGACCTAGAGTAAACTTTTATACCTCTTAGAAATGTTAGAGCCAAAAGGTACTTAATCTGATTATAAAATAACGTCCTTTTTACGTCATCTTTAGGTGGCTGCCCAGAAAACGGTCGAGAAGTTGGAAATCACCATCCATGATTTGAATATTCACATCGAGGAGCTCAACCGTCAGGTAACAGAGGTTAGCTCTCAGAGGAGTCGTCTCAGCTCCGAAAATGTGGAACTCATGAAGGAGGTTCAAGAATATAAGGTGCAGCTGGACAACTCTAATCACTTGAAAGGCCAGTTAGCTACTCAGCTAGAAGAGACCAGAAGGAGGCTAGAAGATGAGGAAAGGGTACGTGCAACTGTATAATGTCTAATGTTCTAGTGAATTAATAATTCAGATTTCTTAGAGCTGTTTTACTGAGACACTAAAAATAAATTACTAAAGAAAGAATCTTCTATAGTTTAACCAACACTAAAGAAAGTTCTTTATGTATAACACCTAACTAATGATCTGTAACTGTTAGTTCACTTTCATATGTAAACTTGGTTGGAAAACTTCTAGGAACAGATTCTTTGTCAACACAACATATATCCTCTGAAACAGTTCGCTGAGCTTATGCATATTTCTTGAAGAAGGATCATGATATTTCGCATGCGTGATATCCCACAGATGATGAACAGAAAGAAAGGAATATGCATGAATTTGTTCTTGTATTCTTCCAATCTTTTGCCAGTTGTAAGGTCTCGATGAGATTAGATATATCGTTGTGGGTGAACTTCTAAGGCTACTGTAGTAGTTTACTGAAATACCAATCTCAAAGATGGACACTCTCTTCTAGGACCAGTTGAATTTGGCTGACCAATAATCTATTCATCTAGACATCTTATTTTTGATCATGATAAAATACACTCTTGCTTCAGATGTATGATACACTAGTTTCCTGTTGGTCGTTATAGTTTTCTTATATGCTTATTTCCTCTGTTCCTGCTGTTAAAGCTAGTATGAAACATGTAACACTCTCGAAGTATATATTTTACTTATCCTTATAATAACTGTAAGGATAGGCGACACTGAAATTACGAAAATAAATTACATATTTTTTCATATTGCTCAACAAAATACTTATAGACACTATATGCACTGAAGTGACAAAAGTCATGGGATAGCAATATGCAAATATACAGATGGCAGTAGTATCGCGTAGAAAATGTATAAATGCGAAGTGCTTTGGCAGAGCTTTCATTTGTGTTCAAGTTATTCATGTGAAGAGGCTTTGACGTGATTATGGCCTCACGACGAGAATTAACAGACTTTGAACTCGGAATGGTAGTTGGAGCTAGACGCATGGATCATTCCATTTCGGATATCGTTAGGGAATTCAACATTCCGAGATCCACAATGTCAAGAGTGTGCCGAGAGTATCTAATTTCAGGCATAACATCCCACCATGGACAGCGCAGTGGCCGATCACCTGCACTTAACGACCGAGACCAGCGACGTCTGCGTAGAGTTGTCAATGTTCACAGACAAGCAACACTGCGTCAAATAACCGCAGAAATCAATATGGGACGTACGAGGGACGTGTCCGATAAGACAGTGCGATTTGTCTTCCTTGGGCTATACCAGCAGAAGACCGACTCGAGTGCCTTTACTGACAGCCCGACATCGCCTGCAGCAACTTTCGTGGGCTCGTGAGCATATCGGTTGGTCCCTAAACGAATGGAAAACCGTGGCTTGGTCAGATTAGTCACGATTTCTGTTGGTAAGAGCTGATGGTAGGGTTCGAGTGTGGTGCAGACCCCACGAAGCCATGGACCCAAGTTGTCAACAAGGCACTTTTCAAGCTGGTGGTGGTTCCATAATGGTCTGAGCTGTTTTTACGTGGCATGGACTCGGTCCTCTGGTGCAACTGAACCGATCATTGACTGGAAATGGATACCTTCAGCTACTTGAGATCACTTACAGCCATTCATGGACTTCACGTACTCAAACAACGATGGGTTTTTTATGGATGACAATGCGCCATGTCACCGGACCACAATTGTTCGCAATTGGTTAGAAGAACATTCTGGACAATTCCAGCGAATGATCTGGCCATCTAGATCGCCCGACATGAATCCCATCGAACATTTATGGGACATCATCGAGAGGTCAGTTCGTGCCCAAAACCCTGCACTGTTAACACTTTCACAATTATGGACGTCTATAGAGGCAGCATGGCTCAATATTCCTGCAGGGGACTTCCAACGATTTGTTGAGTCCATGCCACGTCGAGTTGCTGCACTTCGCCGGGCAAAAGGAGGAACGACAAAATATTAGGAGGTATCCCATGACTTTTGTCACTCCAGTGTATGTACAAAGTATTACACATGTTTAAAGAAAAAAATAAATACAAAGTGTGTATAAGCCACGTGTACCCATAAACAGGAATAGCTCTAAATAAGTATTGATAAATATGATGAATGTCTTAAATTCTGAAAACCATTTGCCGGTATAATTATTTATCTATCGGGCAGTAGTATTTTTGTATAATTAGTGTCAAATAAAAAAAAGTTTTGCTTTGAAAAATGGCAATTTATTGACTTTCATCCACAGGCTTATACGGAAGAATTTCATTTGTTAAGTATAGGTTCATATAAACTATTAAAAACGTCAATCAATCACAACCAATCCTTGACAGTCTAATCGAAATAAAGATTACAGATTAGAAATATTGACAAAAGGTTATATATCTGCTGAGATAGCACCGTAACTCAAATTGAAATTTACTAATTACATAATAAAACAATTTGAACTCTCTTGATTACTTTTTAATATAAACAGCCAAGCGGTGTCATAAAATCAAGTTCATCGCTTTCAATGATCATCTGTTTGGTGGTCGTGCGCTTAATGCATGATATAATTAAAGAAAATAAGAGTAGACGATCTCCTATAACAAAAGAATATATTAAGTACTAAATTACAATTTAAATTACATTGCAGAGATCAACGCAGAGCTCGGAACACAGTTCATGCTACCGTCGCGTACAGTTGTCTGACGAGAAGTCTAAGTGAGTAAAGATGTCGCTTTGCTGCTCCGATTAAGAACTGGATTTTACACGTGGCGCATCTCATGAATAGAAGTTGAAGTATCTGTCGGAACGCCACAGTACTCCCCCCCAAGTACCATCGGTACGTTATAAGTACTTTGAGTTAAATTTAACCTTTCTTCCAGATCTGGTAGTTTTAGGTTGCTCTTTAACGGGATGTAAGCTTTCTTCCGGGAGTGATGTTGATGAGGAAGTTGTTGGATCTTGCATTAGAAATGCTGGTTTGAGACGATCGATTCCAATCACTGATTGTTTGCCATTGCAGATGATGGTGAAATGTTTCGGTGTTCGTTTGACAACTTTGAATGGACCATCGTATGAAGGTGTTAAAGTTGGCTTGATTGCATCGTTGCGCACGAATACGTGCGAAGATGTCTCAAGCGCAGGATGTACAAAATAGCTTGGCTGGTTATGCGAAGATGCTGGGGTTGGCGAGATATTGCTCATGGTCTCACGTAAACGTTGAAGGAATGTTGGAGGGTCGATAACTGGAGTAGATTCTGGGTGAAAGAATTCACCTGGCAGACGGATGGTTGCACCATATAACATTTCAGCACAAGTGCTACCAATGTCTTCTTTGAATGCTGTGCGAAGACCAAGCAAGACTAGGAGTAAGGCTTCTGTCCAGTGTGTGCTACTGTGGCACTTCAGACCTTGTTTGAGAGATTGGTGAAAGCGTTCCACCATCCCATTTCCAGATGGATGGTATGGTGTTGTGCGAATAGGCGAATGCCAAGAAGAGAGGTGAGGGATGCGAACAAGTGACATTGAAATTGTCGGCCTTGGTCAGTAGTGATGGTGGTAGGCATGCCAAATCTTGAAAGCCACTGGGAGATGAATGCTCGAGCTACAGTTTCAGCGATATATTTTCAATAGGAATGGCTTCAGGCCATCTTGTGTACCGATCAATACAAGTGAGGAGGTAAGTGTAACCATTTGAAGGAGGCAATGGGCCAACATGGAAGGAGGCAAAGTCCAAGTGCACATGATCAAAACGTCTTGCTGGAAGGTTAAATTGTTGAATGGGGCTGTGAGTGTGACGGGATACTTTACACCGTTGACATCTAATACATGAACGAGTCCATTCTGTGATGTCTTGATTCATTGCTGGCCAGACAAATCTGTTTGCGATCAGCTTTTTGGTGGCACGGATTCCAGGATGTGCCAAATTGTGCAAGGCATTAAACACTTCACGTCTAAAATTGACAGGAATATAGGGACGTATTCTATTGTTCTCTATGTCACAGTAAATTTTAAGCGTTGGATCAATGTGCAGCGGTTGTAAGTGAAGGGAGGTTTGTGGATTTGAGATTAGGTTCTTGAGTTCCTCATCATGCAATTGAGCTTTTGCAATTTCAGAGAAATCTAGGGTAGTGAGGTTGATATTGTTTACCCGAGACAAGGCATCAGCGACACAATTATCAGTACCAGAGACATATCTGATATCTGTACTAAACTGGGCGATGAAATCCAGATGTCGAAGCTGACGAGGAGAACATGAGTCAGAGTTTTTTCTAAAAGCGAAGGTTAATGGTCGATGATCGGTGAAAATGATGAAGTCGTGTCCTTCCAAGTTTTGCCGAAGTATTTAACAGCACAGTACACAGCAAGTAGCTCCCTGTCATATGTGCTGTATTTCCTTTCTGCAGTAGTAAGTTTTCTGGAGAAGAATGCCATTGGGAAAAGTCCTTTAGTGGTATGGGCTTGAAGCACTGCTCTTATGGCCGTGTCAGATGCATCTACCATTATAGAGAGCTGATCACTAGGTGAGTGATAAAAAAGTGTGGCTGCATTTGCCAGATCGTGTTTGCATTGCACGAATGCTGCAGATGCAGATTCAGTCCAAGGGACAGCTCGTCGATCGTTTTTTTTTTTTTTTTTTTTTTTTTCTGCTATTCTTCAGAAACTCATGTAGGCAGGCTTGTGTTTTTGCGGCATTTGGCAGAAAGCGTCGGTAGAAATTTAACATTGCTAGAAAACGCTTCAGTTCAGAGATGGTTTTGGGCTGAGGTAGGTCGTTAATTGCTTTGACTCTTTCCGGTAAAGGTTTGACTTCATTCTGGGTGATAAGACATCCAAGAAAGGAAACTGAGGGTTGACCAAGTACACATTTGGATGGATTTAGTTTTAATCCATGATCTTTAAGGCGAGTGAAAATCTGACGCAGATGTTGAAAATGTTCCTCCGCATCTGTAGATGCAACCAGGATATCATCAAAATATGGGATGCAGAAATCGAGGCCAGACAGTACTTGGTGTATGAAACGCTGAAATGTTTGGCCAGCATTGCGAAGCCCAAATGGCATATATAAGTACTCAAAGAGACCAAATGGTGTAGTCACTGCGGTCTTGGGCACATCTTCAGCATGCACTGGGATCTGATGATATGCTCTGGCAAGATCGAGGGTAGAAAATATATGTTTGTCCCATGATGAAAGAGATGGGTACAGTCTTGGATATGTGGGACTGGATATCTGTCAGGGACTGTGACGGCATTAAGTCGACGATAATCTCCACAAGGCCGCCAGTCACCATTAGACTTTTTAACCATGTGAAGTGGACTGGCCCATGGACTTTTAGATGGGCGAATGGTTCCCTGTGCTAGCATGAATTCAAATTTTTTGCGAGCAGCTTTTAGCATCTCTGGAGAAAGACGACGAGGCTTGGAAAATACAGGTGGGCCATGTGTTTCAATGTGATGATACACTTCTGGCTGATGAGTATGCTGCCCTGATTTGGGTGGGTTTAAAATGTCAGGGAATTCTGCTAATAATTGATGAAACTGTGTGTTGAAACACGTGTGCTGCCCGATACAACACTTATGTTGGTAGGTACGTTCGATATGTGAGAAGCTTGGCCCTGTGATGTCAACTGAGTTGTAGCATCAATTAAGCAATTATTCTTGACATCCACTAGAAGGTGGAAATGTGTCAAGAAGTCGACACCAATAATTGCTTGAGTTACATCCGCAATAATAAAAGGCCACTTGAAAGTCCGGCGCAAGTTTAAATCAAGTGTCAATAGTTTGGTGCCGTAGGTTGCAATTTGGGTACCATTGGCTGCATACAGTACAAGTTTATTAAGTTGGTGAGCATTTGTTTTAGTTCTCGGGAGCACTGATATGTCAGCTCCAGTATCTTATAGAAAACATGACTGAGTTGAACGATCAACCAGTACTATTCTGTCGATGTGGCGGACATTCTGTTGGCCAGCAGAAGACCGCCCATTTAGTTTCCCGCTTGTTCAAAAGTGCATGGAGGGGCACACTTGCGAGCTTGAGCGCCAAAATTCATATGATAAAAACATATGCCACTTGTGGGTTCTTTGTACTGCGTTCGAGTATTGTGACGAGATCGACTCCTGCTTCAGGCACGAAATTTATTACGTGGGCCCTACTGGAAGGTGCAGCATTAGCAGCACTGACATAAGCTGGAGTAACAAGTTCATTAATTTTGTCAGCCATTGCTGCTAAACGGGTTAGATCTTCATTGGAAGCAGCAAGAATTATTTGTATGTTATTAGGGAGACGCGAAAGCCATAGTGACTTCAACAAGTCGTCACTAAAATGGCTTCCTGCCAGATCACGCATTCGTGACAGCAAGTATGAAGGTCGCTGATCTCCAAGTTCAAGTCCTTGTAGTAAAGTACGTATTTTTGAAGATTCACTTTCTGAATAGATTTCAATGAGCCGCTGTTTCAGTTTGGAGTATTTATCACAATCAGGTGGTTTGAGAATTAAGTCATGCACTGAATTCAGAATATCAGACTCAATTGCTGCATTAAATATGAATTTTGTAGAATCCTTACTAATGCGAGCGATAGAAAATTGTGCTTCGATCTGAGCGAACCACAATGAAGGATTATTTTTCCAGAAAGGCGGTGGCTTCACCACAACGCGTGTGATTTGTGGCTCTGGTGGAATATCGTCGGGCATACTGATAGATAATTTTTACTTTAATTAATAAACACTTAACAGCACAAATATTGTAGCATGAGGATACACTATTGATATTTTACCATGATAACAATAAATATTTTAACCATGCAGAAAAAAATTTACGTAACGATACACAAATAAGACAGGGTCAGCAATTACACACACAAATAATATTTTACCGAAATGCATTTGAAAAGAAACCCTTATTTGAGAAAAAAAAAATGATGCGTTCATTTTGTATTGCGCACACACAAAATCACCACTTCACACTGCTAAGGCACTTTCGAAGGAAAAAGGAAATCACTCCTGTAGCACATGGGAAAAAAATTCACTACTTTCGAATACTGAGGGAAGAATTTTGCCGTAGCAGGTTGCAGAAAAATTACTGATGTAGCATATTTAGCGAAAATCACTATTGTATCACATTTGTCACAAAAGTTGAATGATCGAAGAATTATTGCACGACTGGCGAAGTCAGCGGAACGGAACAGATCACATTGATGATTTGCTGAAGCTCCTTGCGATGATATGCACGACTTTGAAAAAAACACAAGCAATATATATCAATACTTCTAAAAATAATTGAAGGGGTACGTTGTAGCATACGTTTAATGTCCATATTCGTTGTTATTTTTAGTCAGTTCTTCAGAATGCCTTGGATGCACGTGGCTTAGGGTCGTTGAAAATCCATTGTCAGTAGCGTGCTCAGTCAAAAGGTCACCACTTTTGGTGGTCGTGTGCTTAATGCATGATATAATTAAAGAAAATAAGAGTAGACGATCTCCTATAACAAAAGAATATATTAAGTACTAAATTACAATTTAAATTACATTGCAGAGATCAACGCAGAGCTCGGAACACAGAGCTCGGAACGCAGAGCTCAGAACACGCAGAGCTACCGTCGCGTACAGTTGTCTGACGAGAAGTCTGAGTGAGTAAAGATGTCGCTTTGCTGCTCCGATTAAGAACTGGATTTTACACGTGGCGCCATCTCATGAATAGAAGTTGAAGTATCTGTCGGAACGCCACATCTGTAATACATCCAGTTCACGCAATGCGCACTCATTTCGCTATCTTAATAATTCATATTTTCATTTCTCGCAGAGGCGTCAGGCTCTGGAGCAGCACTCCCACACACTGGAGGTCGAAGTGGAGAGCCTGAAGACCCAACTGGACGAGGAGTCCGAGGCTAGGTTGGACTTGGAACGTCAACTCTCCAAGGCCAATGGAGAAGCCGCTACCTGGAAGTCCAAATATGAAGCTGAATGCCAATCACATGCCGATGAAGTGGACGAACTCAGGTAAAAGATGCAAATTTTTTAATACAAAACTCTATTGAAAAGATTACTAGCAATCTTTCATCCTTAAGACGACATTTGCTTAAAATACCACGAAGAATTAAGTATTTCATTAAAAAGACCTAAGTTTAGACTATTTTTGTTCTGAATTTTTAAAGAATCTTCAAGCTTCGTTATGACTGTCTTCTATTTACAATCGTTTTTTCAGCATCTGGTGAGTTAATGAAATGTTTAAAAATTTTGAACAATCGGATGGCAAAAATAATTGCTTTGTAATTCTTGAGCATCAATTTAGTCTCAGGGCTATAATAGTAAACGTATTACTTTAAATATTGATATGCACGCGTGAAGCTTGGGCATTTTGTAAGTAGATGCATAATATTCTGAAGATTGATGAAGCAAATTAATATACAATGTTTTTCAGCACATATGACAGTTTCTTGAAGACAGATCTGTCTTCAAGCACAGATCATCCGTAAAAGGGCACTCAGATTTGTATCAACAGCTACCGTGATACCACAAACATCCTATGAAGGATTGTGGATTAATTTGTGGGAGCCAAATTATCTAATGATCATCCATGAGATTCTATGAGATCGTATGGCCAATATGATCCTCACGTGTGGTCAATATGGTATTCATCATAAGACCTTAGAAATTCCGTGAAAATTCATGGCTCTTATCTTGGCTTCTTATAAGACCACAGACATTCGACCAGACCACTTATATCATCCCATGGTCTTCCACAGACCACAAGCATTCTGGAAAATCTTACAACTAGTGAGACTTTCCAATAAAACCACAGGCATCGCATGAAATCTCATGGCTTATATCATGGACTCTCATAAGACTACAGACTACCCATGAGCCTTCTGGCATTATCTCATGGTCTATATGGTACCCCAGGACTTTCTTGAGACTTAACGTCGCAGTTTTGGACCAAGAAGCTCTTTAAATAAACTAGAAGTTGTCCCTGCTCTAATATAAAATTTTGTAAAGACCGCAGTGGGACTCAAAACGAGACTTGTAAAATAATGAAATACATTCTTCTACTGTGTATGCTCCAGACGTTTTGTTTTTGAACATCTGAAAAAGAAAGTTCTTTCTTTAAATGAAGCTCTTCAAATTTTTTATCAAACGAAGCATTTACTCTTACTTATTAGTAATATTTCCTATAGTGTTTGCACCTGAAGGAATATTCGAGAATATGAACTTTTCAAATTTCTTCTCATTATCAATATGGAAATACTACACATTTAATTATTATCGCATCTGTATCCCGAAAAGTTGATATATCAAATTAGATGAGTGCATGATGTAAAAATTAGCAGATTTGTAGCACTTTATTTGATTTCGACAGCATTTTCTTTACAGATCTCTATTATTACAGACTAAATTTCATTCGATTTTTCCTTTTGATCATATTTTGTATTTTTATACTTTATATATTTTGTTAATATCTTTCATTTTTATACATTTGCTATTAAGAATTTACTGGTAGTGTTTTATGTCAACTATTCCATGAATCTGAGGCAAACTACATAACATACACATTTATATGTTTGCGTTTCAGATTTCATTTCCATATTGTTCAATATTTATGTGCTGAATAGTTTTAAGCCCTGTTTTCTAAATTATTCAGTGACAGTACAGTTACGATTAACTACAGTGAACGAAAGAGTGATTAAATAATTGGGAGTAACGGATATCCAGAAATACCGAACAGATCACTCAACAAAACCAGTCAAAGAAAAAATTAGATTTTAATACAGATTTCGGCTCAGTAAAAGACCTACATCAGCAGCTGAAGAGCGTATATTAACCCTTTAGATACGACAGGTGACTCTCTCTTACTAAATTACTGAATCTCTGTTACTGCTTGAATTTGGTACGGTAAATCGAGAGGCGACTCCGGTCACCACTCGGTTTGACGGACTACCCACTCGGTTTGACGGGTAGTCGGTTTGACGAGAGGCAATGATGTTTTTTCGGTTTATTTTGGGCAATATCGCTTCATGAGTGTATTCAGTAATACATGCACATACAACAATTGCCAATCTTTGTCTTAAGCAGGTGTTTTTTAGATTTATTATTATATATGTTAGCTCGAATTCGACAATCGTGGCAACAGGAATATTATTTTCAAAGTTACGGAGCCCAATAAGCATGGAATACGATGAAGGAACCAGTTCAAGTGAAGATGAGTTCGATCGTTGTTTGATGAAAAACGAAATTAAGTTTATGTATAGATTACTTTACGATAGAGAGGAGAAAAGCAGTGATGAAGATAGCGGTGAAGTAAGGGGTATGAGAAGACGAAAAATGAATGTAATAGACAGTGAATGTGAAAGCGACAGTGATTCCAGTGAGGAGACAGGAAACAAGCAAAGTAGCCGAAGAAATCCTGCAAAGAATACCGTTTGAATTCGGTGAAAGAGCTGCAGGACCGCAAATATCTCGACACATAAAAAAAGCATTAGATTTCTATGAAATCATTTTATGTTAGCTGTAAGAACTTTACTAAATATGCTAAAAATTGTTTCAAGTTGCTGGTTCGCCCAAGCAAAAAAGTACTCAAAGATTATAAAATCTTTCGTTACAAGTTATAAAGACATTCATTATAACATGATTTTTGTTTACGATACGAGAGGATATGATTTTTGTTTACGATTTTGTACTCCTTTCAGCTGTACAAAATGCGCATTAAAATAATTATATAATTTTACTTTCTGTATCCAGGATAAGTAAATTATTTTGTTGAGCAGTACAGACAGACCTATTACGATTTCTATTGCACTGTATAAAAACTGTGCAGTAGAACAGAATATATTATGGGAAAACAAGGAATTTTATTTAAGAGATCAGGTGTGAGAGAAAGAAAAATTAAAATGAGACTTTATCAGAGGAAAAACCGAGCAAATTTAAAACTTATATATTTTCAATTTTTAGGCGTCGCCTGGCTCAGAAGACAGCTGAATATGAGGAACAACTTCAGGCACTCCTCAACAAATGTAGCGCACTGGAGAAACATAAATCCAGACTACAGAGCGAAGTCGAAGTCCTTATCATGGATTTGGAGAAGGTAAGAAAAGCAGATACATTTTTCAATAAAAATAAGCGCATGAAATATTAGTCATTTCACAAAATGCTGAGTATTGTGAAAATTCTAATAATTTTCAATGTATGCAATGCACATTATTGCACATGATAAATTATAAAATTGCATTTACGTTTGCTAAGATTAACTTTAACTGATAATAATTACAATAGCAAACTGAGAAAAAGTTATGTATAATATAGTAAGTTAAGCATGTAATTTATACGATTTTGACTGATACGATTAATGGAATTTTGCGACTGTCATTGGTAATTATGAAGTAAATCAGACAGGAGTAACAATAATTAGATACGAGTATATCTCATGCAAATAATGAATAATTTTCTAGTAAATTCAATAACAGTAATACAGAAGGTCGTTAGCAATTTATGAAAACGATTTTATATTTAAATCTTCTGGTTAGCATTTTGAGATAAAAATTTGACATTTTCAATTTAATTGTCTGTTGCTATTTGGTTTTGATTATAATTCATAGTAAGAGATTTATTTTGGAAGTGGTCCTAAAATTGATAGATGGCTAGAAAGTTACGTAAATACATTTTTCGAAGAAAAATATTCTTATGAGCAAATTGCAAAGCAGTATAAAATTCGAGGTTATTGTATTTCAAATAAACGTATATTTAATATCAATATGAAAGGAAAAAATAGTCAAGCTGAAATTAAAAAACAAAAAATGGTCGCATATCCTAAGACCGTTTGAACGCGAGTAAGTATTGAGCATGTAACGTCGCTAATCTTGAAGGATAATCCACCGACTCAAAGTTCCATATCCTCGGAACTAGTTATGTCGTCTGGTACTGTAATCAAAAATCATTCATAAAGATTGGAAGTTAAAATAAGATGTTTAAACCTAAAGTTCATCTGTTTCTGCAAAAGATATTGGGTAAATGTAAACAAATTATATAGAAAACACCAAGTTGCTGACAAATGCAAATTTGTGATAATGCTGGATGAAGCATGGCTATATTTAAGTGAATGTAGTGAAAACAATATCAATTTTCGATTGCTCACCTGACGAAAATGACCATACAAAACAGAAAAGTTCCCAACGAGATTCTTGATAGTTGTATAGGATTTTGTTACAAAGGTAAATTAAAACTTAAAAAAGTCTCAAGTAAAACTAAAATAAATTTTACTATTAGCAGAACATTTTATAACTAATTTTTGAAGAAACTATTTCAGCGTTATATGGAAAAGAAATTAGCTTTGTACGGATAAAGCCTCTAGTCAAACATGTCTAAGTCAACTGACACTTATTTCGCGCTTCTTCTGTGGACTTTTGCGCTTTTGGTTTACTAAAGCGAGACTTGGTAAGCGGCTCTCAGGAACACTAAATGGAATTTGGAAAACAACCCATCATTTTTGGAATATTCTGTACACTTGATTGTATATACAGTACATATACAGTAATTTAATTCTGAAATATGAAATAAATACTGCGTAATTTTCCTAATTTTTAGACAGGAACCTTGCATTCACTTTCCTAGGCAAAAAATGTTTTTTCAAATAATGACAGGCAAAACATTAAAATCTCAACTACTCTTCGTTTAGTTTTTTTACGATGTAGAGACATTAGGTATATTTTTGAAGGCAGGTGCGATGAAAAATTAGCAACGCCTTCGCCGGGAATTGAACCACAGACCTCTGGAATACCGGCCCAGCGTGCAGAACCACTACACCACGAAGGCACGCTAGGAAGGCGCGAGAAATACCTTATAAAGATAATAAAGATTCCAAAAAGCATTATAAAGTCCTCGTAAATGCATCATTAACAACACTTCAAATATTAAAATGATGTTCAGACTGTGTCCATATAACAGCGGAAAACTTTGGAATTAATGCTTGCAGGGAAATTTTCATTAAGACACCTAAAATTCTGAGAGTTTTCTTTATAAACGTATTTTCATGTGATCTTAATGAAAATCAGCTAAAAAAAAATGTGAATTGTTTACAATCAGTCCAACACCCTGGAATGCAAAATTTAACTCTAGCTCCTACTTGTCGAACGTGTAGACCTAATGTTTAACTTAGCTACCAAAGTACTTGAGTATTAAGGCGCGTTATCAATTGCAAGAGAAAAAGGACTATGTTATTCTGACTAATCTCACTTGTCTGATCTAATCAGAATACGTCCACGAATTTTAACGTGGCAAGGAGTGAAAGAAGGTTGCGACTGTCATTGGTAATGAACCTCAGGCACCATATAGGTGACATTATGCCTAGTTCCGCCCTAGTTTTGAAGGAGGGCACCCTGGATAACAGGTTGGGAGTCTCCTACCCTTCCTAGCCTACCACTAAACCACTCTAGAGGGCATTCCGTTCGCCGTATATTTTGCATTATGCATTTAAATATCCATGTCTTCTCCGAGATTCGAATATGAGCCCTTTGGTACCTTAGTCAGCATCACTAAGCACTATACCTTCTGGTATTGTGCTTAGTGATGCTGACTAAGGTACAAATAATAATAGTGAAACAAGTGAAAAATATAGTGAAATCATTGTTTTCGATCGAGTTTAAAATTAATAGAAAAGCAAATTATGAAAATTTTACTAAATTATGAACACATACAATAATTGCTGAAACTTCAGCAACTTAACCATATTTACTATAATATTTCCCCCTTTTTCCTATTAATTTTACTGCTAGAAAACTGGAAGGAAAAAACTAACGGTTATAAGATATCTGAAGAGACGGCTTAACAAATTCCTTGATTCTTTCGAGTTACCTCGTGATGAGAAAATCATCACGCAGAAATCTGCTCGAATGTACTTGATATCTTTACACGCTTAACATACAAATATGATTAGCTCGAGCGCCAGAAGTAAATGCCATCCTTTCACATTGCAAAGCATATTTTCTTCCCTTGCTCCATCAAAGCAACCGCTAGCAGTCAGCGCTATAAAAGAAGTGATCACAGGAATTTTCAACTTCAGGGAGTTCAACAAAACTTCCCTTTACGTTTGGAATGCTTGCATCGCTTTAAAAGTTAGTGTCGACACCGGAGGGTTGAGATTATCCACAATAAGGCTCCCTACTTCGCAGAAAGCGGGAGGAATGCACTGCCAGATAGGAAAACTAAATAAATTTGAAGCTGACTACAAAAGTTTTCAGACCAATTTTTACTGTGACTGCTTACCACTCAGAATGAAAGTAACAAATCTCGCAATGATTTAGCTTAAACCACAAATTAAATAAAACAAGAATACTTAATATTGTTCTCACGTAAACGAAGTTCTTTAAAACGTCTTAATGGGCTTAACATTTAGTATTTTAACACTAAACCTGTAGTATTTTAAAGGTCAGTAGTTTTTCATTAAAACTTACAGAAATTCTGAGAAAAATACGAAAAATACAAAATAATATCGATCGAAGATATCCATATAGTTCACTATATCCGATTTTTATACTTTTAAGAGTTCGAAGTATAAAATAGCATTAAGTGTATTGAAAATTAGAGGGCCAAAAGGATCATTCGTTCGTCATTCATCATTATCAAAAGGATCATTCAAAAGGATCTTTCGAGGGCTCGTTAGAGCGGAGTTCGACTGTATTCCATGATGTATGAAAGTTCAATGAATTCGATTGAGTACTTTTTTATTTGTTTTCTTAACTTTTGTTCTTGCTAAAACCATTAACAAATATGAACGAAAGTGATGCGAATTGCGCCAGAGTACTCATGGAGTCCTAAGTTAGCTAATTAAGTGTGTAAATGATAAATCTGATCACTTGTAACACATATTATGATTGAAAAGACCGTAAAGATTAGAGACTGTAATGAGTGTAATAACTGTAACATCTAATAACACAATTCCGAATTCTGCTCGAAATTCAAATGTAAAGACACCGCTCCAAATTTTGTCTTCCGGAAGTACAACTGTTAAAACATCATAGTAATTGTCTGTAAAATAACAGTTTTCAAGATTGGTAAAATTCCAATACATGTATGTTCCAGTTCCACTATGGTTGGCTGGGCAGTACTTAACTTTCCACTGCCTGAACATATTGGTTTGAAGCAGTGAGCCGTCCAGTCAGTAGTATAAAAAAAAACTGAATTCTTTCAGATTTTATATTATACCCAAAAGGGCGTTTTTTAACGTTTTGTGCGTCGCCTTTATTTATTAAATGTCATATTCGTCCCTCTTAAATCATAAAGTTCAATTCAAAAGCAATACCATAAAATATTTAGAAATAGCATATCTTTAGAATTTCCGATCACAGTCTCGCGCTCTGGAGATAATTTTTTTTTTTCGTACAATGTTTCCTGCTCGCTTTGAAACCAGTGAGTTTATTAATTAAACCGTTGAGTTTATTAATTAAAAATTTGAAACCGTTGAGTTTATTAATTAAAAATTCCGTTGAGTTGAACCGTTGAGTTCTTTTTCGTTACTTTGAAACCGTTGAGTTTATTAATTAAAAATTCGTTAAAGTTTTACAAAATATAAAATAGTAATAAAGCGAATTGTAAATTTGGGCTTCCAGATGCCCATATTCAAATAGAGGATTACGTTATTCAAAGTTTGGTGTTTCTAAGTTGGTTTTTCACAATGCGAGAAACATATATACATTCATACAGATTCTTCATTACTTAGGTTTTTTAAAACATAATGCAGGGCTCTAATATTTGGTGGCAACAATATTTGGCCATTGTACAGTGGACGACGCAAAATGCCAAAATAAAGTTAATAGCCCTTTTGGACAAATTGCCCTTTTGGGCTAAAAAATGAAAACTAAAACTTTCTACTTCACATTTGGACATCAGTGGTAACATTCTTAACTGCAGAATACGAATTTTCACGAATGAAAGGTTAACATTGCCTTAATATTGTAAGAAATATTTCAGTTGTTATAAGTATAAGTTGAAATATATTCATTCTTCATTTAAAAATAAAAGACTACGCCAAACTAAACGCAACAACCTTGACTTTAGCGTAGATTTAATGTCGAGATCTCAGTCGCTTTCGAGGGCAAACAGATACAGGTCCATCTTCGTCAGGAGCAAAGAAATCTGCAAGATTGAGGTAATCTGCAAGTTAACAGATTTCTTTGCTCCTGACGAAGACGGACTTGTACCTGTTTGCCCTCAAAATCGACCTAACTCTACGCTAAACTCAAAATTGTTGTATTACTAACTTTATGTTTCACTTAACGTGTTTCTCTCCTGTTTTTAAAAGACTAACAGCTCTGATAACCTGAAATCAAATTGCTGACAAGCTATTTGTGAAAGAAATAATTACTTGAAATAATTTCGAATATTATTATCTTATTCCTTTTAAGGCTACCACGCATGCTCAGAACCTGGAAAAACGTTGCTCGCAGTTAGAAAAGGTGAACCACGATCTCAAGTCGAAAGTAGATGAGTTAATTGCTCTTTTGGAACAAGCCCAGAGGGACTTCAGGGCTAAAGTAGCAGAACTACAAAAACTGCAACACGATTTCGATAAGCTCAAGGACCAGAAGGATGCTTTGGCCAGAGAGAATAAGAAACTGTCTGGTAAGAGAGCTAGTCTAAATGCACATTTCTATACAGACTTAACATTTAAAAGCCGTTAACTATATAACATTTTCTCCAACTTTTTTATTAAATTTGATTTATATCACTAAGAAATTTAAACAAAAGTAAGGGAATACGGCACTAAAAGTAAATTAACAGCATTTCCTTGCCTATTATCTCCCCCCTTTTTGTACTAATTTTATCGTTCAAAAATCGAGAGCGAAAAGTTACATGAATAATTTAATTTCTGAAGAATGCAGTTACAGTAGCAAATAAAACGTAACTACAGGTAATTATCACAATATTGTTTTTTTAAAAGAAACCTACATTCCAGTAAAAATATAAAGTAATATTAACACTGCAATGTTTTTAAAAAATATCTTCATTTCTACTTCTCTGTAACAAGAATCTCGCCCTTTCTTCTTGTTGTCTCTTTAGCTCCTTAGGCCTCAAATCATCCTAAATAATTAGAGCAGGTGAATGCGGGGCTGACTCGGTGAAATAGTTGGCGGAATGCCAGTTGGCTTATACTTCGCATGTGATGGGTTGGTTCTCGTATTAGGCTAGTATAATGTTTAACACAGGACATACGACCACTAAATCAGGCTTCCGATCTAAGGTCTAAACTAAACGGAATTAAAGCCTGCTCAGTGGAGGGAACCTATTCTAGCAGCCACCACTGCCAGGGTAAGGCTGGAAGATCAGCGATATTTATTGTAATCATTGCAAAAGTACAGTTAAGTCAGTAAAATAATTATCATTGATAACTTTGAACGTAGTGCATCAAATATATTTAAATGTAAAATATTGCTTAATATTTAATACAATACAATATACAATATTAATAGTAAATGTTAAATTACAGTATTAATAGTAAATGTTGCAAAATATAGCTAAATACTGAATACTTAATGTTTAATATAATATTATTTAAAACAATAGTTATGTTTTACATAATACAATATTATTGTAACCTAATTTTGAAATCAACTTATGCAACCCAAATATATAACAACCAATTTAGGAATCATGTACGGCATACTAAAGAAAAGGAAACTATTTACAATATATACAGCAAACACAATACAAAACACAGTACAGGAAACACAATATATGCTCTATAAATGCACATAATACAATATGTGCTTACATGAACACAATATAACAATATATGCTCGATCTATACACAAACACAATATAGCAATATATTCTCGATATATACACAAACACAACATAACAATATTTATACAACAAGCACAATACATAAATCAAATAAAATATATTATAACGTAAATAGTAGCTAGAGCACCAAAAAGTAGTGCAATTAGATTTGTAATTCAGATGTCAACAAAGAAATAATATTTTTGTATAGCTACATTTTCTTATTTTTATTTTGTCTAGCAATGCTTAGATAATATTATTACATTGATACATTGTTGTAAATAAGCCATTCTATTTGTTTCCTCTTAATAAGTTATTTAAGTCAACCCATGTAGTAATATAAAATTTTCAAATATAGAATAATAGACAAAATATATTATTATATTGTTGCGTTTTGATACTGTTACATTAGTGTCTTCTAAGTTATTAATCTTAAATCAATTAATTATAAGTCAGAGTGAGTCAACTAATTTGATATTATCTAGTTGCATATTCAATGTACTAAAGACATATACAATATACAATATACTAAAGAGGGTAACATTTTACAATAACAAAACATTATTAATAGCAACTTATCATTGTAAATTATATTGAAGACATTGCATTGTCTTTTAACTTTACCAAAGAGAGAGGTTTGTTCTCGATTCGCATTTCGTAGATGTTGTCGGAGTTCTACTTTGGTTCTAGCTAGGTTCGACATAGCCTTGACCTTACTAAGATTGTTGCAATCTAAGTCATTTCTATTTTATTTATTGTGCCCCGTGCAATTAATACAGTTCGGATTGTATTGGCAGTTTTTAATAAGACGGTTGTGCATTCGCACACTGAATGGTACACAAACATCTCATTAAAAATTGAGAAGATAATCCGTCCTGTATTACCTACACTTGCACATTGAGTAGTGATTGGTTGTTCAATGCGCCAGAGGGTGAGCAAAGCTGCATCCTCTTTCGAAGTGGATGCTGCTTTGAAATTTCGACTTATTTAGGTCCAAAATTTTGGCAATTGTAACAACGTAGGATGCGTAAGAAGTTTCGAAAAGGACAAGAATTGAATCCTTAATGTAAACGTCCTTGTGAGCCTAATTTTTATGGTATTCTGTTTTCAAGTTTACTATCCAGTTATTAGTGGAATCCGGGGGATGCAGAGGGGTTGTAAGTTCTATTGCATCTTCTTGATTAGGTGGTAGAAGTGATTCAAAAGTAGAGATTAAGTCTTCCGAAGTAAATTCAGTAAGAACTCTAACCACTATGATCGAATACCTTAACGGTTTTGCTTCTCTTGTTTTGTTTAAATACTTAAGAGTCTTGTCGGAGGTGACAGAGCTCTTTATTTTTGTAATGTTATTTTTAGAAGCACAATCTATTAGCAAATCATGTGATCTTGTTGTCTGATTTGTTGTATTGGTGCTCCAAGTTTGAGGAGATTAATTTTGATGCTAAATGTTTTGGATGTTATTGGGAGTAATTTTTTTGATCATTTGATGAAATATTTAATACATTTTCCGAAGGCTTTAGTTGAGAGTGCAATTTTCGTTTCTTCCTTTGAACTGAAATATGTCGTTTCCCATAGATTCTCCCCATTTATTGCAGATGACTGAATTTCTGAAGACGTAGGAGATAAAACAAACGTAGATACGATGTCTTTGTGATGGCCAACATGGAAAGTTACTGGAGTCTCTCTATTTTAATCTCAAAATTAGTGGTATCCGTCTGGGTATTTTTATGCTCTCTAAGTAAACAGCTTAAAGCAGTGGTTGTTTCCTTTTTAACAAAACTGAAACACGAAAAATCAGTCATTGCCTTTTTTTCTTCTAAACCGTCAGCTGTGATAGCACATTTTTGAACATTATCACTGATAGACCTTAACATACGAACCATCGACTCACGATTCTGATAAATAGCTATCATTTGATCTTTAGTAGCTATCATTCGATCTTTAGCAAAAAGAACCTATTGAATTGCATGAAGAAATTTGAAAAGCCTTTTGGTATCCTTTTGACTGAATTTAATAGTGCTTTGAGAGCTTTTGAATTTATTTTGAAAATAGACAAATTCTCTACAAAAATCGGCTAGGCTCTCATTGCTATTTTTACTAGTTACTCTTTTAGACGATACTGGTATGTAAAGAGGAAGCCTTTTAAGTTTGTTTAAATATAATTTTTAAATGAATACTATTATTATTACTGTGCTAATAAAGTTGCATACACGGAAATATTTAGAATCCGATGGAAAAATACTATTTTAATATCTATTAAAGGGTAGAAAGTGTCGGGTACTATTGTCGTAAATTTAATTTATTAATACTTTAAAAATACACTTATATTCTTTCCAATATTATTTCTAAAAGTATAAAAGCGATTGTTAACCATTGTTGTAAAAATAAGATTGATATCTAATATGAATACTATTTTATGTATGAATTACTTATGTTTAGTTACATTGCTCATGGGTTTAGTTATTAATACTGCTTGAGACTGTTTAATACTGATTTCAATGTTTTCTTTCAAGGGATATAATTTTTATCCATAGATAACACTTCCAACGCATAAAAACCTTAACTTACTTCTTTTTCCTCAAACTTTTGAGTTCAAATTTATGCCGCTTAACAATAAGCTTGCATAAGTTTGATGCTATATAAAGCTTAACAGTTGCAAGGGAAAGGTTCGGAGGAACGTTTGCTGGTAATTTGCGAAGGCTTGCGGACGAATTCATTTTAAAATTTAGTGGAGCTCGTTCTCTGAACACATCGAGGAAAGGGAAAATTATGCGAATATTTTTTAAATTTTCAGAATTTCGCGCTAAAAAGCAAGAGGGGGGAACGTGAAGCAATGCATTAATATTTATATAAATGAAATATCAATGATTAACACACAAAATTAAGGATAAATTAAACTAATAATGAAATAAAGAAAATAAAAATAATAAAGAATAAATTTTAAGACTTCTTTGGAATTTGAAATAACAACAACAAAAAACTATCGAAAATTTCTAAAATTAAAGAAAATTTAACCTCCGATTTTCTTTAACTAAGAAAAGTTCTCTGTTCATTTCAAGAGAATCTGACAACGGCCTGTTTTCTTCAAAGCATAACTTTGACCTTTTGACCTTTTTCACTCCTCTAATTTCATCAGAATGATAATAATAAAGTAATTACAGAGACCATAATGGCATACAAAGACTGGCAAACAGTGGACATGCATAGACATAATTTCCATAATGGCACACATTGGACTGATAAATGATAAATGATAATTTCCATGTATCTCTGGTATTGTTTAAGTAAGCTAACTCAAATCGCTATGGACAGTCAAGTTCGGGAAGAATCTATCAGTGGCCAACTATTTTAAACTCTCAGACAGAAAATATTAAACCCTACCAATGATAGTACAAGAAACAAAAATATTAAGGAAAAAGGCGCTTAAAATTATTGATTAAACTCATGAGATAAAAATATCTGTCGAAGTTACTTAACAATGGGATGTATTTTGATTTATATCGTGCATATTGTTAACACATGTCTTGGATTAAACTAAACTTAGTTTACTTATAACCAAATTAAAGTGCTACGTAGATTCTGTGTGGTGAATTATGTCACTAGAATATCTAAATCTAAAACAAACAAGCATAAAACTATGCTCATTTTATATTAATTCTACTTCACTTGTGAAGGGTTAAATTAAAATATCCAATACAAAATTACAAGTCATCTGGACCCTGCTTAAACACAAGCTTTCTTTAACCTGCTTCAAAGTTACTCTATGCTGTTCAATTTAAGACCAGCGTCGGAGTTGCCAACAACAGAGACAGAGAAAGTCTACATGTCAAAACAGTGGC